ACGTGCATGCTCATGCATGTACTCATACCTATTTAAACATGTACATGCACCATATATAGACACATGCATGTTCACATGTGTGCAATGCAGCCATATGCACACACACACATACCTATCTGAACATGTGCATACACTGTACACAGACACATGAATACTAAGAAAGAAGTCTCAAAAATAATCTTTATAACATAATCATAAATGTCCAAATGAACCACATAGGATTATCTGTGTCTGTTCAAAAATTAAGAGAGCATTCCATGCAAAAACTTGTCACTCTGTTCCTTTATCTGTGCTGCCCAAGAATCTCCAGACCCGATTATTTGCAGATATGAGACTTGTTAGTTATGCATATGCTTTCTGCATGCACAGGAAGTAATGGGGGCTTCCTGGTATTGTTCTAGAAAAAGAATCAGGCAGCATCTCTCCAGAATGGGATTGCTGAGCCATCAGTTGCTCTCTTAGTGCCTAAGTGATTTCTAGCATGGCACAAGTCCAAGGCTAATTCATTAAGATGGAAGAAATCTATAAACACCTGCATGTAATTGATTAGTAAGTTGGGGTTCCTGTAACTGACTTGTTCACTGCTCTCACTAAAACCAAGAGCCAGCTATAGCAACTCAGTAGCATGATGTCAATTTATGGAAGATTTTCATTTGCATCAAGTGGACTGTGTTTGGAGTTCTCAGTTCCACCTTCCATTAAAGTCAAGTATCCCCTTGTTCTTGGTTCATTGCATTAAGAATTGTGGGTAATTAGATGATGTTATTTGTTTTACACGGAGACAATTCAGTGAAAAAAAAACTAGTTTTCAGGAGTGTTTCCATAATGATAAGCATATCCACCATTCATTAACCATGATGTAATTGCAGATTTGGTTCTTTTTAGTGTGTGTGTGTGTGTACATATGCACATGTATGGGTATGGGTGCTGAACATGAACTTGGGAGCTAAGTATAATTCAAGCCCAAGATTTTCAAGCATCAATTCAAAAGAGGCTCTGGTGTCACCACCATGTCCTATTTAATGAGCTGCAACAAAACCAGACAGCCCTCTTGAAACTGGGAACAAGAGTATGTGCCTGCATGGAACCCTCAGCAAAGAAATGCGAGAATACTACCACTGTACTGGATTATAATGCTAGTCCTTTTGTTTCTTTGAGCCTATTTGTAAGATTGTGTCTTGTAAACATGAAATATCCTTAGCCTACATTCCTACAGAGTGGGAGACAGCTTGCAGATGGCTGCCCAGTGCAGCATTCAATTACACTGACCCACACATTAGCAAAGTTCCTTATTTTTGTCTTCTTTTCAAGCCTGTTGACTTCAAAGAGAATGTCTCTGGGATCTGATGATGACATATCTAACACCCCTTTGACACATGCTGGTCTCCAGTTCCAACAGACAAGAAGCCTCTGGGAGGCAACACACAGCTGGAATTTGATCTCGCTGTTTGTGTTTGTGTTTGTTTCCCATCATATTTACATTTAAATTACTTCTATGACAAGAGTGTCTGGTTTTCTGAGGCAAAGAAGACAGACAGATTCCAGGTCAAGTCTGCTGCAAATGTGTCTACTTCTCTGGTGCTGGCATGGATGTATTAAATTTGGGGAGAGGTTGGGATAGGGGCATTTGGTGAGGTTACTTATAGCAGTCCTCTGCTATGTCTGATCCCTACCATTCTCTCTGCTGAACACTAAAATGAATCAAGGTCTGATGGGGGATGTCCTGTATGCTGTGAATATGTTTCTCTTATTGGTTGAGGAATAAATGCTGATTGGCCAGTAGGCAGGCAGGAAGTATAGGCAGGGATACCAGACTAGGAGAATTCTGGGAAGAGAAAGGCAAGAGAAGCCAGAAAAGAGACACCATGTAGCTACTAGGAAGATAGGATACCGAGCATTCTCTGGTAAGATAAGGTCATGGTGAAACACATAAATTAATAGTTATGGGTTAATAATTAAGAGAGAGCTAGCCAGTAAGACACCTAAGTCATTGGTCAAGCAGTTTATAATTAATATAAGCCTCTGTGTGTTTATTTGGGAATGAAGAGGCTGCGGGACCAGACTGGAAAGAACTCTCTCTACAAAGGTCATTGTTGAGGTGGATGAACTGAGAAGTAGGTACTTGGAGTGGGGGTCAAAGCAGTGTCTCAAGAAGGTATAAGTAGATGGCTAGCAGCTCTTTCTCCACTTAGTTTGTAGCCATACTTAGAGCCACTTGTCCTGTCTCTTACCATAGTCCCCTCCCCATATAGTCAGTGGTCAGTGTAAGAACATGCACATAGTTCACAATGACCCTCAAAAGCCATGAATACAAAACAGGAATCATAATGACAAAACATTAAAGTTAGTATGCAGCAGCATCCATCCATAAATAAATACCAGAGAGAGAAACTGTTTTGGTAAAGAAAGAGGAGAGTGATCAAGGAAGACCCCTGGCATCAACTTCTAGTGCTGTTCACACACACATATACACAAATAAAGAGTAGACGGTAAATACTAATAAATGACTTTGAGTTCTAATTGTATTTTATAGGATAGAAAAAGAGTGGATGGTGTCTATTATGGTATTGTTGAGACAGAGAGGTGCTGATAGAGAAACAATGTGTGAGAGAATCTGTACATATACTATCTGGGGAAGGAAACACACAAAGCCAGTACAGAGCCAGCCACGGGAGAAAAATAAGGGCTGTAGTCAGAACCTGAGGAACAGCATTATTGTTGTCACTGTTTATTCTTATTTTCTTAGAAAAAAGTTTCAACCTTCATGGGCTCAGAAAATGCTTTAGAAGGAAAAACCCCAATTAAGACTCTCAGAGATTAAGCTCAATTAGATAAATATAAAATGTAACTAATAAAACTACAATAGATTGAGCCACACACACACACACACACGTGGAGTTTAAATGGAGTTACCCTATAACAAGGAGCAATCCTTTTCCTAGACACTGCAGGTTATCAAGTATAAAGCCCAATATAAGGTGGGCTTTTTGAGATGTTGCTCAGTGTGGTACCATAGACCCCCAAACATTACAGGATATTATTGCTCTTAGTCATCCTCCAGAACTTGAAAGTCAGACTTTATTGCTAAGGCTGCCTCTTAATATATTCATAAGACAGAAAAATCAAGCTGGTGCCCACCTGGAAGCTGTATTCCTGTTGCCTAACTTTTATAATAGCTTAAGGTGCTGTGGACACTACTGAAAGAGGAAAGTACTCATCAGTTTTACCCAGCTGTGAGCTCTTCAAGCCACAATCATGAGTGGTCTGGAAAAATAGGTTTGATAGTGCCATAGTGGCACCAATGTTATGGAAGCAACCAGTCACATACTGACTGGATTCAAAGTCCACTCCATAAGATGGAATTCATTCCTGGTACTGTTAACTGGGACAAAAACCCATGACTCACTAGGTCACAGGCCCTATAGAAGAAACTGCTATTACTATTTTACTAAATGGACATAATAATAAACTCTCCCCTAAGTTCTTATCTACATAGATTAGTGCATCTCTCAACCCTCATTGGGGAAACTTCTTTTTTGCAGTAGGTGATAGTTAATACAGAGACCCAACATACTATCGAGTACTGATCTCTGTATCACTCATGTACACACACACACACACACACACACACACACACACACACACACGCCTCAGAGATCATCACAGAAAAAGAGGTGGAAAGATTGTAAGAGCCAAAGGTAGTGGATGAGTACAGTCCAACAATATTTTCAGAATATGGCAGGGCAATTGCACATATGAATTCCCAGCGGCTGTGGCAATAGATTTCATGTGACAATCTTGTTCTGAAGTTACAAATATGAAAAATATTCCATCATAAGCCATAATATTATGGTATAAATTAAGAAACTAAGGTTGGAGAGACTCTTGTTGGTTAAGGCTCTTGCCATGTCAGTGTGAGGATCTCTGTATAAATGCCAGGGTTGGGGGGAGTGTATTGCAGCTCATCTATAATTCCAGACTCCAAAGGTAGAGGCAGGGAAAACTGGCCAGAGAGACTGACTATATTGGTGAGCACTGGGTTTAATTTAGAGATCCTGCCTCAGTGAGCAAAATGAAAGGGTCAACCATTGGTCTGCGCACGCGCACACACACACACACACACACACACACACACACACGAAACTGTTCACACACATTTGAATAAACATGAACACACACATACATGTGCAAACGAGGAAAGGGAAAATAGAAACAAAATCATTATTTTTTTCATCTACAAATACGCAAACTCACAGATACAATTGGCATGCACCCAAAGAGGCTGACCTAACATATCCACAGAGCATGCCCACTGTGAGACTACAGTTGCTGCAAAGGACTCCAAAAGTTATTAACAGCCCAGTTGCCTACTAAAAATAAAATCATTTCTAAAACCATAGTGTACATCCACACTTGGAGATGAAGCACAGCTAGTTCTTTCTAAGAATAACTTTTAAAAAGATTCACTTTGATATTTTTATGTGTGTAGGGGGCAGTGTGAAGGTGCCTGTGGAGGCCAGAGTTCATGAGATTCCCCTGGAGTTAGAGTTACATGGAGTCTGAGATGCTCAGTGTAAGTGCTGGGAAACTAACAAGTTTCCTTTGCAAGAATAGTACACACTCTTAACCTCTAAGCCATCTATCTTTATAGCCCATCAGCTAGTACTTTTTTTTAAAAAATTAAGCTGTATATGATGTTGAAAGAAAGCCAAGGTATATAGCTGGATAGCAGAATTGAGCTATGAGACATTACAAATGGTGAGACAGCGTCTGCTCAAGCTTTCATGGATCTATATGCACATATCTGACTGCACATACATAGAATTCAAACAAGTAGTTGAATGACTTTTAGTGGCCGGACAAGGGCTGGATTTGAAACAGAATCAAGGGTTTTTTGTTTTGTTTTGTTTTGTTTTTTGCCTCCTCTGCATTGTTTGGAATTTCAGAATGAAAATTTAATCATATATGAGTTACATAATATTTTAACTCCTCCAAAGGTAAACGTGACAATCTTAGCAGTTTATTTACAGGTACATATAGCCACACACAGCTTGGTAAGAATTTGAATATCTTCAACCTTACTAAAATCACAAAAGTGTTGGTTCAGAGACATATACTTTGTGAGTGCCTGATGAGATGACATCACAAACCTCATCAAGAATCTTCTGGAAGGATTAGGGCTCCTGTGGAGAGGCAGCCTTTGTGTCAACAGAAAACTCCTTATTTGACTTGTTTTTCAAAGACTCTGTAGAACTTTGGTTGGGAACAAACTTGAAGGCACTCCATCTTTCCTCGTAACATCTAGGAAAACGTCGGAAAGTTGAGATTACCGCGGCTTCCTTATGCACATATGATGTTTGGTTATTTGAAAGACCATCACACTGGGATGGGATATAGTCACAGGCCCAGAGATTGAAATTTCTAGAAAGGTGTTGCCTTTTATCAGGGGAGATCTTCTTTCGTCCCAAGCCCTAGGGAGGAAGGACAAAATTAAGGGAGAGATAGATGCACAAGGTCACATAGTTCTGAGGATGTCAATGAAACCAGAAAATGGCATACATATGTTTAAATGTATACATGAGACAACCATTCTAAAAGCCAACCCGTTGAATATCAAAAGTAAACAACATCCTGGCAGTATCCTTTTGTTGTTCTCAGTGTTCCTTTGCAATGGAGGGGACTGGGCTTTTAAACACAAGGAAGGTAAAACCAGAGGGACCTCAGCCATATATATCCTGTTAAGCACCATCACTTCCCAGGGAAGCACCACTCCTGGCTGCCTCCGAGGAGCTGGCAGATTGGCTTCTTTTCCTACCCTATGACATCTCCCAGAGGGAGCAAGATCTCTGGCCTCTGCTCACAGGCTTGCTTGTTAGCAGTTGGCACCTTACATGTGAACCTGAGAATCATGTATTCAAACTTAAACAGTTGATTCATCACAATGGGGTGAAAAAGAAAAAAGAAAATGGATGTTGGCACAAAGAACTGAAAAGAGATAGACACCAGGTTACACAGACTCTGCACCAATACAATGAGGCTGACTACTCATAACAGCCCATCAGCCAGATGGCAACAGGGCCTGACAGGATGCTTGAATCAGAATGTAAGAGAAGTCTACAAAGTACCACAGCTGGCATCTGCCTCCCTACTTCAACCTCAAATCTACGTAAGTCAAATGGAAAGTGTGTGTGTGTGTGTGTGTGTACCAAAAATACTTTAATTACATCTGAACTGAACATGCATAGGCTTTTCCTTTATCATAATTCCCTAAACAATATTAAAACTATTTTCACAGCATTTACAATACATAGTAACTAGTCTAGAGGATATGCATGTTGGACAATGTGCAAATGCTTTGCCACTGTCTATAAGAGACAAGCATCTGCTGATTTTGGTACCAACAGAGGGCTCCAGAACCAATCCTCACAGATACCCAAGATGACTACATTTACATACCGAAGCTAGAGTGTGGGGAAATATCCAGGAGCAGTGCAATGGCTCCTGATACAGTCTGTACAGACCAGAGGTTAGGGCAGGGAAGAGAGGAGGCGAGATGCTCTTGGGAGACAAAGAGAAGATGTTGGGCACATTACATCTTTTGGAGAAGTTATCTGAGGATACGCCAGCAAAATGAAAAGAAAAAACACAACATAGGGAAGAGCTGCAAGGAAAGCAGCCAGCAATATACCTCAAAGTACTTTCTGAACGTGTGGCCATGAAATACATTGGAGAATTAAGAGGAAGGAACAAGAGGGAGAGAGCGGGAAGTGCCTGGGCATGAAAGGGAAAGGGAGGAGGAGGGAAGGGAGGAAGAGAGGTGAGAGGGTAGACTGGAGGAAAGTTGTAGGGTTTTAGTCAAACTGGAGTAATCAGGACCAGTGGCTGAGCTGCAGATGGAAGCCCCTTCAGGGCTCATCTGGAGACTGCGAGAAGCCAGCCAAGGCCACCACCCTACCAGCCCCAGAGAGGAAAGAATAGAAATAAGGCCCAGGCCCTCTTTATCCTAGGGGAAGTCTGCAGGTGTTCATTTTGCATCCAGAGAATAGTACCTTATTAGTATACATTTTAAACATAACTATTAGTAAAAAATCAGCAGAAATCAGAATAAGCAAATAAATTCAACTGATAGAGCATTGTGGGAAGAGAGAACAAAAAGAGATATTATAGATAAGAGATAGAAAGTGAGTGACAGGTGTAAAACATGTAACTGTCATAGTAATGTGAATGGCTTAAATTCTTATACGGGGAAACAGTGACTCTTGGGTATTGTTTTTCTTTTTAATTGGGCTGCACTTCATTTATATTGAAAGACAAACCCAAGCAGGATGGCTAAAGTTCATGAAGATGCAATTGGGATATCTATATCATTCCCGCTCCCACCAAGACTCTGGGACTGTTGTAGAAGAGAGAGCAGAAAGACTATAAGAGCCAGAGATCAGGGAGGACCAAGGTGAAACATTGTGCCCTGAACCTGACAGGACTGATGAACTCACAGCTGTTGTGGTTGCCTGCATAAGACAAGATCAAGCCAGTCAACAGTCCAGCATGGAGTAGGCAGGGACTCAGTGGCTCCCACCCCAAGCTGAGGAGTTACAAAGAGTTGATGGCTTCTGGAAGACAGAGGTTCTATTTTCTTTAAAAGTATGGCCATGGTAGGTGGAAAGGGCATGAAGTTGGAATGGGTAGGGAGCTGCGAGGTGGATCTCAGAGGACTTAGGGAAAGAGTGGGGTGAATATGATCAATACACCATATGTATTGCAAAATTCTCAAAGAATTAGCAAAAGAATTCTGTAATTCATAAAAATGAAGGGACTGCACTTTGTAGTGCAACACATGCAAGAAAGGATCCATGGCTAAAGAAACACATAGGCTGAAGATACTTTTAACAAGCCTTTTTCTGTCCTTCCAGCCAGTTCCCAAATGGTGGCACAGAGACTTGTTATTAGTTATGAAAACTTGACCTATAGATTAGGCTTGTTCCTAACTAGCTCTCATTACTTAAATTAACCCATTTTTTATTAATCTATGTTCTATCATGTGACATTACTTCTCTTCCATCTTGCACCTCCTATTTCCTCTCTGTTTCCTGGCATTTCCTGCATGCCTATATTCTTCCTTCTCTTCTTTTCTCTCCTCAGAAATCCTGCCTATACCTCCTGCCTAGCTATTGGCTGTTCAGTTTTTATTACACCAATCACATCAATACATCTTTACACAGTGAACAAATATAACAGATACTCACAGTGATAAATGGCAAAGCCATCAAGATAAAAATAAAGCAATCATGAATTTTTATACAACAAGGCATGATACCAAACTATTTAAAGAAAACCCAAAAGGTGTTGAAATTTAACAGTAATTCTTAGAAGCAGAAATTGACAGACCAAGACAAAGAGTAAGAAATATTTTATAACATAATTAACAATCCTCATTCAATAATTTTGTAATTAAATGAGGAACTATATAATCTTTTTAATTACTAGTGTGACACTTTAAAATTAATCACATGCAAAAACAATCTCTACTATTCAAACAGGCACAATCAGAGTGTCCTCCATGAAACTTAATGTAATGCCAAAATCAGATATCAGCAACAAATAAGTAACCTAACTAATTCTAACCACATCAGAATCTTTCAAATAACTCTGTTAAAAGAGAATTTAAAAATTGAATAAAGATTATTTGGAGGCAAATGTTAATCAGACAAATTAGGTCTGATTAACACAGATTTTAATGATGTGTTTGCCTAAATGTTTTTTTTCATTTATTTGCTCGTTCTGACTTCCAATGTTTTCCTAATAGTTACCTTCAAGTGTAAATGTTTAAGAAGTGTATTAAAAGGTACTACCCTCTGGATATAAAAATGATTGCACATTTCTCCAAGAAAAAAGCAACTGCTTCAGAAAGCTTTAGCTCTGTTCAGATAATGGAACAATATTAGAATTATTAGTTAGATTTGAATAATAGTATCCTCCTGGTATAGCCAGAACTAGAGAATATTCATAGTTTTAATAATCTCATTAACAGAAATGACAAACATTTGAATTCAACTGTCAAATGAAGAATATTTTAAATAGAGAAGTACAGGTGCTTTGATTGACATTATACCATTAAGTTTGAAATGGACTAGATAAATTTTTAGGCAAACACATCGTTAAACTGTAAAGAGAAGCCTTCCGGCCAGCCTGGTTCCAGAGCCGCATCAGTCCCAAATAAACACACAGGAGGCTATATTAATTATGAAGCTGTTGGCCTTGCTTTTTCTTACTGGCTAGCTCTGACTTAAGTATTTACCCCATAATTGTTAATCTAAGTATTTCTCTTACCGGAGCAAAGTTTCCAGGCTTCTTATCCCTATGGCAGCTATATCTTGACTTCCTGTGTTTCTCCTACCCAGAGTCCTCCTCGATACCTAGCCCCACCTGTCTTGCTTCCCTATTGGCCAACAGTGCTTTATTGACATATACACAGGACTTCCCCCATCAAAACTCTATGCAATAAAAAGTAGGAAGTTTGAATAGACTAGTAGTCAAGGTAAAATTCAAAACCCTTGTTCTAAAAAGTGTATCAAACCTAAGCAGATTCATGAACCATATTATTTAGCCATTGCTGCCTGTGCAGTAGATAACTCCATTGATCTACCAGGTCTGTCCTGGGTCCTGTGGGCAAGTTCTATCAAACTACCATAAACTACAAATCCAAATGTTAAGGATATGTAAGCTATTCTAGAACACAGAAAGCTGGGAAACATCTGGAACCTTCCCGGAGGCTCTCATCACCCTGGGAAGATGTGCGGGTCTAAGCCTGCTTGTGTCATTAACAAGATACAGGCTTCTGTGGATCTGTCCACTAGCCCCTGACCAGCAGTTAATCACAGGCTAAGGTGTTGAAAGGGAAATGAGGATGCAAATTTTATTTGGAATTTTATGTAAATCTGGGTTGACTTTTTAAAAATGTGTGTGTGTGTGTGTGTGTGTGTGTGTGTGTGTGTGTGTGTGTGTGTGTGTGTGTAGGTCAGAGGACAGCTTGTGCAAGTTTGTTCTTTTTTTCACTGTCTCTTCAGGTTGGCAACAAGCACCCACTGAGTCATCTCACCATCACTTACTTGACTTGTTTGATGAGCATACGTCATTGTGGCAACTTAGAAAGCACATTAAGTGGGGCTGGAGAGATGACTCAGTAGTGAAGAGCACTTGTTGCTCTTGCAGAAGACCTAGGTTTGATTCCCAGCATCCACGTGGTGGCTCACAACTATTTATAACTCCAGTTCCAGAGGATCTGACTCCTTCCTCGGACCTCCATGGGCACCAGGTATGCATGTGCTGGTATGATGCCCAGACATTCATGCAGACAAAACACTTATACACATAGAGTAAAATAAAACAAACATTTTATTATAAAGAAAACGTTAAACACTTCACTTAAAGAGGGAAGGGTAAAAATTATGACTCTGTATTCAATACGCTGCCAAAGGAAAGCAGGTTTTTAGGTTAAGCTACTCATGTTTACTTGGAAGACAGTCATGTGGAGGGAAAGGTTTCTCTGGGCATGGTGTTTCATCTCAGTGTATTTCAGTTTGCTCATTTCTAAATCAAGGATAAGAGTAATTAGCCCACCAGAGTGCTACCAGGCTTAAACAAGATAATACAAAACACTGGTGTGTCTTAAAGCCTTAATAAACAAAGGGTGTTGCTAACAGCACCTTTGTCATGTGGCTTGTCAAGTTTGGTAAGTGTTCCTGAAGCTTGCCCAACACATGCGTCTGCCTAAGATACGCTAACCTGTGGTGTCCAGTGCAGCAGCCACTGGCCACTAGTGATTGAGTGCTTGAATGTGAGCAGTTTAACTTGAGATTAGTAACATGTAAATCAGATTTTAAGGACTTAGTTTGAAAAGGAGAATGTAAAATAGCTGGTTATAATTTTTATGGAGCTGATGAGATGCCTCAGCAGGAAAGGGTTTTTACATTATGCCTGAAGACCTAAACTCCATCCCCAGAGTCACATGGTGGAAGGAGAGAACCAACTCCTGCAAGTTGTCTTCAGACTTCCATCCACACCCACGCATGCTGACACCCACAGCCACACACAGTAAATGTAAAAAGATTTCAATTGCTTTAAAGCTTAACAATTTGTATAATTTCATGTGAATTGCTCTATTACATGTTGAACTGATAATCCAGGGGAAATACTGGGTTAAATAAAATATGCAAATGCCCGTGGACTTATGATCCAATAAACCCAATGGAAGCTGAAAATATTCTAAGCTGAAAGTTCATCTGGTGTGGCCTTCGTAGGTTTCAAACAGAGCACATGTAGTTGAAAGAAAAAAAAAAGTGGCCACAGAGATAGGAGAGGAATTGGAGGGGAAGGGTAGAGGTAGGTTAGATCAAAACATATTATGTACATGTATGCAATTCCCAAACAATAAAAAATTATTTTTTATAGAAACAAGATGCATCTGGCCCACCTGACCTAACTTGATAACATATTACACTGTAGAACATTAAATTTGTCTTGTGGTGTCTTGCGTAGCTAGCTGGGAGGTGTGACCTAATGCCAATGACACAGCCTCACAAGAAACACAGATACCAAATACTTTATACCTGGCATTAGCCCAAGAAAAAGGCAAAATTCTAAGTCTGAAGTTTTACCAAATCTGTTATTTTCACAGTATCATAAGGTTGAAACTTTTTAAGTAGACCATCTATTTTACCTGGTTTTTAGATTTTCCTGTTGCTACCAGAACTTTGAAAATTATACTCACAGCTTGTGTAATATTTCTCTACCCAATGCTATGTTAAACTGTTAACAAGACCTTAAACTCTACAGTGGCAGGGGACTTCCCACCCCTGGAATAACTCGAAGAATCTCAAAAGAGACAATTCCAAAGGAGGACACTTTGTAAGCATGGCCTGTCTATGCTTGAATGGAGGCAGAAGGCTTCTTCAGGCTCAAACCCTCCAGCCAACTGTGAGAGCTTCAAGAGGGGGCTTTTGTTTTGTGACCTTTCAGGTGTCTTGTTGAAGACCCTGAGCCGTTTTGGCTTTGTTCCTCTTTTAAGGAACACGTGTCTCTCTGTAACTTGTGCACCTTGGAAATCAAGAGACCCATCACTGCTCCCCATTCTACCAGTTGCCTGCTTACTGTGCTAGCGACGGGCCCCTAGGCCTCCTGCACGCCAGGCGAGAGTTCTATCACTGTGCTGTCCCTGAGGCCCTACTAGTTTGCAAGGAAGTACTCACAGAGTCAAAATAGTATCCAGAGTTCTCAAAGCTGTAGCGATTGTCATGCACAGAGAAGGGGAAGCATTTGTTTGCTGCTAGCTGGAGAGGAACAGAAGAGAGATGAAAAAGTACATGTCAGAACTATAAGATGCCCTCAGACTGGGGCACAGTGATGGGAAAGGAAGAGGGATGGGACAAAGGAACTTCTTGGTAAAGCTAATGAAGTCCATCACCAGCATGGAGCACAGGAGAAGGGAAGTAGGCAGGCCTGGGGCTTCTTCCAAATTCACCCCTGTTACCAAATCTCTGAAATTGGAAAATTTCTCTTTCAAAATATCTTTGGAGGTAAGAAGGCCAAAGTGCATAGATGCAAAGAACCAAATGTTGGCAAGGACTTTTGACAGCTTGGGAACCAACCTGAGACTGGGTTCCCAGAAGCCTGGTGCCTGAGTTGAGGCTCACAGTGAGTGCAGTTGATATTAAAACCATTCTTCTTCCTCCTTCTCACCACCAAGGCCCGAGCTCATGAACAGACCAGGGAGGCAGACCATGACTGTTAATGACTAAAGGTTCCTGTGGAGAATGCCAGCTCATTGTCTGGACCAGGAGGCAGCTCTAGCTGCAGAGCATTTGGATACATCACAGGGAACCATGGCAAATGGGCAAAGGAGTTGATGGTCTGACCAAAATGCTAGACCCAAGCTCATCTTACTTTTTCTCGGACTTTGTATATCGGTGGCAGCTTCCTCTCCAACTGCTGAGACAAGTACGGACAGCGGATTTCTTTCAGGGTAGTGCTTGTGACGGATTCCGGCGTCTTCTGCACCAGTCCAACATGAGGGAACTGGAAACACAACATATGGCTTGATTAGAACCAGACACAGCTGAATCTGTGTGCCAAGTGTGGACTTCCTCTGCAAAGTGACTAAAACACAGTTTGGGCACTTCTGGAGTGCTGGGGGAATGGTAAAAACCCATGTAACTTTGAAGTATTCCTTCCAAACAAACATTTCAAGCCCCAGGGGGCTCTTCTTATTCAAGGTCTCGGGGAACTTGGAAATGTTTCCATTCTGGGAAAGAGTGGAAGTGGAGGTACTGGGAGACGGCAGAACTGTGTAGTTTGAGGTCCTCCCCTGGCCTGGGATTCCTGGTACGTGGAGCCTAGTGCCCAGCCTATGTCCTCAAAACTGGATCAACTCTCAACCCTAGAACCCTAGAAGTTGTCAAGCATGGTAGACTAGCTGGTCAACATGAAGATCTCCTGTCTGCTTCTATCTGGGATTGCAACCATGTGCCACCATTCCCAGCTTCGTATGTGGGTTCTGGGGATCAAACTCATGTCCTTGCACTTTCAAGGTGTTTTACCAACAAAGCCATCTCTCCAACCACTCTCTTCCATTTTGAAGTATAAAGACATTGGCTAACTGTAATTATGTCTCCATTCCTCCAAGTTATGATACAACTGTGTGTTCGGGTGGCTTTTGATTGACATCTGTGAAAGATTGTGCTAAGTAAGTAGGCTGGGAGATTGTGTTACGAATTTAATCAATATTGTAGGTATTTTCTCCAGCTGTAAAGAAGCTAGAAGACACATAGGACTTAGCAGAGTGGACAGAAGAAAGAAACAGAAGGAGGTATTATTGAGAACAGAGGGCCATAAAGGTCAGTTTTGTGTTTAGACAACATGGTGCTGATATGGCTATCTAGTATGAGTCAGCTAAAATATGATTGACACAGGACATTGGAGGACTGTGAGTCAGCACAAAACTGAGTGATAATAGATGTCCTGGGAACCCCAAAAGTGAGCAGTTACGTGATATGTCGTGTAACTATGCCTAGCAGAGTACTTTTTGTGGAGATTCTGTGGCCTTGATGTCAAAGGCTTGAGTCTACCTTTTCCAGGCTGTTTATTTTTGTCTTCAGGATCATGTGTCACCTGCCTGTATGTGGCTAGTGGTATCAGTGTGTGCCTGGGTGCCTTCCAGTAGCTCCCTGTCTAGTATATGGAATATGTCTTTATGAATCTTCAGTTTTCCAATTCTCTTCAACCTCCCAGGTTCCGTGACCTTCTCCTTTCCTGGCACTGGAGTATGACACTCACAGATGTATAACCCGGCACCACTGATGTGAATGAGTAACCTGTGCACATAAAATAACAGAAGAACACGGTAGAAAAAAGAACCACCACCAAATACTCTCAGTGGCTGCCTGTGGGCTGAGAAGAAGGAGAGCAGTGACACCAAGACCACCAGGCAAAACCATTGGCTTTATGCATGCAGACCTTCCTGTGACATAAGAAACGGCCTATGGGGCCCCATCAATCTGTTCCTGGTGAGACTTGTAATGTATACGTTTGGTGTTAAAAACTCGATTGAGGAAAAACATAGGGAAACAGGCAGGTCTGGCAGTACAAGACTGTGAGCCACTACATAAGAGATTGAGACAGGAAGATTACAAGTTCAAGGCCTGCCTGGGCAACTCAGTGAGAGCCTGTATCAAAATAAGAAGTAAAAAGAAAGCAAGGAAGTAGAGGGGATGACATTATCCTAAATTCTTCACCACCACCCTGTCCCCTTAGTGCTTTGAAGGCGAGTATAGAATGGAGTATAGAATCCTGATATGGATATACAATTCTACATATGGGTTGTTTGGACACATTGTATCATATGCGCAATATAAGAATTAAAATGTTTCGAGCCCTGCATTGGTGGCTCAGGCCTTTAATCCCAGCACTCTGGAGGCAGAGGCAGGTGGATCTCTGTGAGTTCCAGACCAAGCCTGGTCTACCCAGTGAGTTCCAGGACAGGTTCCAAAACAATACAGAGAAACCCTGTCTTGAAAAACCAAAAAAAAAATTAAAATGTTTCATAATTTTAGAAATCACATGTGGCTGTGTGGTATGACTGATGTCATCCCTAAACAATGAATTTTTTGGTAGTCTTTTGAGACAGGGTTACTCTGTGTAGCTCTGACTGTCCTGCAACTTGCTCTGTAGACCAGGCTGTCCTGAACTCACAGAGATCCACCTGCCTCTGCCTCTGCCTCCCGAGTGCTGGAATTAAAAGTGTGTGCCACCACCACTGGCTTTTGAATGCCTTTTTATTTATCACAAACCTTTTGTTGCCTTCCCTTCCCCCCCTTGTTGCCTTCACCACCACTCCAGATAGCTACACTGACTGAGCTCTTGTATGTTATATGTGACAGGACTGATACTGCTGCCCATGGTGTGTGCCTTGCTTTCCTCACTTAATCACATACACTAGAAAGTTCTCAACCAACTTACGTATGTTTCGAATTAGTTCTGTATTAAAGTTTAAAAGAGTTTTCAAGTTATTATTGTTCATGTGTGTGCATGTTTTGAGCCTGAATCTGTCACTGGGACTCAGGGCCTGCAAAGAAAGAATAGGCTAGTTGACCAGTAAGCCTCCAGGATCTGCCTGTCTCCACCTCCCCAGCACTTGGCGACGAACTGGTGCTACCATAACCATTTGTTTATACGGGATCAGGGAAATAAACTTGGGCCCTCATGCTTGCAAGGCAAACACCTTGCTGATTGAGCTATTTCCTAAGGCCCTAAACAATGTTAATTGTTTACTTTTATTACCGTGTGTATGCACATGCATGATGTGTGTATGTATGTGAATGTCCAAGAACAACTCTGTGAAGTTGATTCTCTTCTTCTACCTTGACAGGATTCCAGAAATTGAACCTAGGTTGTAGGCTTGCATGGTAAGTGCCCTTACCTGCTGATCTCTAGTCACTTTTTTAATTAAATAATTTATTTCACGTACCAACCACAGTTCTTCCTCCCTCCTCTTCTCCCATTCCCTCCCCCAACCTCCTTTCTACCCCTCCATCCACTCCTCAGAAAAGAAAAGTTCTCTCATGGAAATCAAAGGCCTATCATATCAAGTTGAGACAGGACCAAGCTCCTTCCCCTTGCATCAAGGCTGAGTGAGGATCCCACTATAGGGTATAGGTTCCAAAAAGCCAGCTCACGTGTCAGAGACAGATCCTGGTTCCACTGCTAGGGAGCCTGCAAACAGACCAAGCTACACAACTGCCATTCACATGCAGAGGTCCTAGGTCCCATCAGGTTCCCTAGCTGTTGGTCCAGAGTCCATGAACTCCCATTAACCCAGGTCAGCTGACTCTGGGTTTCCTGTCATGATCTTAACCCCTGCCTTGCTTATATAATCCCTCCTCTCTCTCTTCAACTGGACTCTCAGAGCTCGGCCCAGTGCTTGGCTGTGTATCTCTGCATCTGCTTCCATGAGTTACTGAAGGTTCTATGATGACAATTAGGGTAGTCACCAATCAGATTATAGGAGAAGGCCAATTCAGGCATCCTCTCCGGTATTGCTATGAGTCTTAGTTGGGATCAACCTTGTGGATTCCTGGGAGTTTCCCTGGCACCAGGTTTCTCCCTAACCCCATAATGGCCCCTCTATAAAGATATCTCTTTTGCTGCTTTCCCTCTCTGTCCTTCCCCCATCTCGACCATCTCAATCCCTCATGTTCCTATTCCCCACTCCCTCCTCTCTATCCCCCTCAGTCACTTTTAAAGATAAACATAAATAGTGCAAGCAGGCTCCAAGTGGATCCTCTCTGTTTTCCCTCCTTCCCACTAAGTCGAAACCTCCTTGGAAAAGCCATGAGACCAGGCTGGTGGGAGGCTGCTCAGACAGCAGGTACAATGGCTCACATCAGCTGACAACTGACTTGAGTTCATTTGTATTCTGCTGGTCTGTGTACTGAATCACTGTTTAAAAAAATATGGCTCTGGCATTTTAATTTCGCTCTTTTAAAATATATATTTAATGGCTATAGGACGATAGCTGTGGAATAAACCCTTCTGTTAGATAGTGCAACCATGAAATACAGCTTTTTAACTAGTTGGTGGTGAAATTTTCACTGCCTTCGATCACTCAATGACTGAAATATTAAATAGGAAAAGGAAAGTAAGTAGTAGGAAAAGAAAGCCTTTCCTGCCCAGCAACAGCCCCAGATTACAACCAGCAAGGTCAACTATAAAATGACTGTCACCTCTAATGGGACAATTACTGTCCTCGCAGATGGGCCGCAGCTGACTCACAGCCAACGGTTTCTTTAATTTTCCCAACTCATCTAAAGTTCCTTCTGGAAGCTTCATGATCAGCACTATTCTTCTCATGCTCTTAAGTGCTGACAGCAGGGAGGACTTTGCCAGAGGCTCATTAGGCTAAGGGTGTGGACAGGCTAAGGATGTGGATAGACAGTGCCTCTCCTGTCTCCTGGGTACCAAGCTGCCTTGATGGGCTTAGAAATGTTGATCCATGAGGTGTGGATTCTCACTTTATCTCCCAAAATAGAGCTTGACTTCACTTGGAATGTCAATGTAGTTGAGCTAAATAAACAAACTTCCTGTACTCCCTTGCAGCTATCTTGGCTATGCGAACCCATGAGCCTGCAAGGCTCCTGGGGAAAGTATTGTTTTTCTGATAAAGGGAGTAACCTGAGAAGACAGATTCCTTTTGTTGTCCCTTGATCTATTGTCCCTTGATCTTCTTGTTTTCCTGCCTGGAGTGTAGACTCACCACTGCATGGAGAGGACCAGCTTGGCAATGAAGATGGCTGAACAGAAAGCTGGAAAAAACACAGAGCTCTGAAAAGTTCCCTGAAATAGTCCCACCTCTAATTCATCTGCTTCTACACTTTGTAGCTATTTAAGAAGAAGCACAAATCTGTGTCTGATTAAGACACTATCAGTCCCTCTCCCCACTATGCTGATGATCAAAGCCCAAACCCAGGGCTTGCACATGCTAATATATAGCACAGGCTGTACATTATAGTGATGAGCTACATGTCTATTCCTGTAGTTAGCATTTTAGTCAGTCAAACACAATCCTAACTGATATTTAGATGACAGAAACGAAGCTATCTAATCCAAGAAACATATTTTTCTCACCATGGGCCATTATGACAATGTGGCTGACACAGCTGGAGGCAGGCAGGTCTCTGTGAGTTAGGAGCAGCCTGGTCTATATAGTGAGTTCCAGACCAGACCAGTCAGGGCTATGTAGCAAAACTCTATCTCAAAAATCAACAAACTAAAATAAAATAGAATAAAATTAAAATGTGGCTGACACTATTTCCCATTTGATTAAAATGTTTTCCCAGTCTCTGCCTCTTATTCTAACATATATTTATACTGGTATTAAATTTTATTTTACTTAGACTTTTCTGTTTTATTTTATATACTCCACAGATTACTCTTTTGATCTTAATGGAATAAAACAAAGTTTACAGTCTCTCTCTCTCTCTCTCTCTCTCTCTCTCTCTCTCTCTGTGTGTGTGTGTGTGTGTGTGTGTGTGTGTGTGTGTGTACACTAATATGAGATACACTATAGTTAGGAAGTATTGATTGGCTATTTTTGCCTATCTTTGTCCTTTTGAATGAATTATCTTGTTAGTCTCACAGCAGCCCTCTAATTTTGGTATATTTCATTTTACATTTTTAAAAGTTAAGATTAGGCGAAACTTGTTTGCCTTAGTCTAAGATGATGCCAAAGAGAGTTCAAGCAGTATCATAAACCCTAAAGACCCAAACTTGCTGACATCTGTTCCTTTTCCCTCTTTCTTTTAAACAAACAAAAATTTCCATTTGGGAGCTAGAGACATGACTGATTAACTAGAGATCTTGCCTCTTGCTATGCAAGCTTTAGAACCAGAGCTGGAGTGCCAGCTCACCTGTCATCCCAGCACTCAAGGGGCAGACATAGCAGAGCAAGATGACTGTTTAACTAACCCAATCAGCCAGCTGCTGATTCAAATGACAGACTCCATCCACCTCAATGTATAAGGGAAGGGGAACAGTTATTAAGGAGGATTCATGTGACATCAATCTTGGGCCTCCCACAAACACATGTGCACAGCACTGGCCCACACACATGAACATGATCATACACTACTCACATACACATGTTTAAAAACTCCACAAATCTCTCTCTCCCTCTCTCTCTCTCCCCCCTCTCTCTGTCTCTGTCTCTCTCCCCCTCTCTCTCTCCCTCCCCCTCTCTCTGTCTCTATCTCTGCCTCTCTCTCTCCCTCCCTCCGTCCCCCCCTCTCTTTCTCTCTCTCCCTCTCTCCCTCTCTCTCTCTCTCTCTCTCTCTCTCTCTCTCTCTCTCTCTCTCTCTCTCGCACGCACACACACACCATGTTATGCTTCGAACACGAGTCTTTTCTCAGACTCTGCCTCTTGGATGTGGAAGTGGAAGAGACACAGGGATTCCCCTTTTGTGAACAAGTTGAAGAAATTGGACATGGAAAACTGATAGCTCATGGAATGTGCATACTGAAGAGCAAATGAGAAGTCCTTAGAGAAGTCCTTAGGCTGAGAGGATAAGACCTCACATTGGGGACAGATGCTAATGTTTCTAGAAGACACTAGGACAACAGCATGCCCAGATGGGCTGTTTGTGATATCGACAGACAGAAGTCTTGCCAGGAGAGCTTGAGCCTGTGGGTTTGAGTTATGATCAAGGACACACTCCTAGGCTCTGTCCATTTCATCATCTGGTGATGGGAATTGGACAGGACTTGGGAGTTTAAGAATGCTTGGTTCAGCAAACCCTGAGTGTGCCTTCTGCACTGGGTCCTAGTCTCAGTACTACTGGAGCACCACTGAGGTGGCATTTGAGGAAAAATGACAAAGGCCCCATGGAGCTTATACTCTAGGAAGATGAGACAGCTCACAATATAGTGAGGGATGTCCTGCTAGATGGCTGGTATTTAGAAACCGGAGCAGCTGAGCAGGTGACTGTTGCTGCCCAGTGAACATCCTCAAGGGTCCACCCTGCACCAAGCATTTCCCTTCTTTCCCCTTCTTCCTCTTCCATTCGCCTTCTTCTTCCCATCTTCTTGCTTCTTCTCCTTCCTTCTCCTCTTCCCTCCCTTTCTTTCCTCTTTTCCATACTTCTTTTTCCTTCCTTCTTTCTTCATTCCCACTTTCCCCCTTCTGTATGCCCATGCCTCCCTTCTCTGTGTGTGTCCTTCCTCCTTCTTTTTTAGTTTTTTTCTTAGATGGTGTCTTACTAAGTAGCCTAGGGTATCTTTAGAAGCTCTCAATCCTCCTGATTCAGCCTCCCAAGTACTAGGGTTACAGGTTTGGGCTGCCTCCCTCAGATTCATGTACATTCACTCAGTCCTCAAAAGAATGCCCAGTTTCCCATTGGACAGGAAAGAAACCAAGGCCAAGGGAAGGGACTCTTCAAAGGTCCTGCTACCATAGGTAGCAGAAGGGAATCCAACTCAGTTCTGTGCCCTCAATTACAGCCACATTCATGAGGAAGCTTCCAGGGATGCCATCTTCCTTACCCATCTTCCAACCTTGTCCAAAGGTGGGTTGAACTGCCTCCCTTTGGCCATCTTCTCTGAAAAGCTGGATGTACTGAGATTGGCTTCCTCACCTCTCCATGACCTCACAATCATGATACGTCTGAAAAGCTTCCCACCCACTGTCTCTAATCTTTTCAGTTACTGCCCAGTCAGGGAAGTGGAGAATGCCCACTGCTGTATGGAATGGGAGCTCATGTCACAATGGGCAGAGCCTTCTAAGCCCTGAGGGTTCTTGCCATTTGTTCCCTGCATCAGGTTCCCTAAGTATGTACAGAGTTCCAACCAGCAGACCCTAGCTGAAGAATTCCCAGAACAGCCAGAGAGGTGAGGACAAGAGGCTGCTAGGAACATGGCAAACATTTTGCACCTTACTGGAACCAATATTTGCTTTAATGTCCTCGGAGAAACCATCTGTTTCAATCACTTAGTTTTCAGAAAGCTGAGTCCTGGGCTGGAGTTGACCTTGTTCACATCAGTAAGGCTGCTGTACCAGGACGAAAACAGCTACTATATCCTTCCATGGAGTTCTGTTTCCCAGCTCAGGCCTAGTCATGACACACACACACATTCCTAGGCTCACTCACCTACCTGGAACACATAGAAGCCGCAAGGAGATAACATTTGTGCATTACTATGTATCAGATGCTATTCTAAAATAAACTCTTTTCTGTGTTTTTACTTCATTTTCTTTTTTTAAGATTTGTTTATTATGAATACAACATCCTGCCTCCGTATGTCTGCATGCTAGAAGAGGGCACCAGATCTCATTATAAATGGTTGTGAGCCACCATGTGGTTGCTGGGAATTGAACTCAGGACCTCTGGAAGAGCAGTCAGTGCTCTTAACCTCTGGGCCATCTCTCCAGCCCCCTTTTACTTCATTTTCTATGAGGGTCACATCATCAATGATTGGGCACCAGAAGGCAAAGCAAGGTCACAGGTCCCCTTTAGAAATCATGAGCACTGCCTAGGGCTGTCTGCCACCCTTGGGCTGCAAAGGCTGCTCCTTAAATCTGGCCTCTGTCCCTGGCCCAGGACATTGACCTGCCTTTCTCCCTCTTGGTGATGTGCTGCTTCTTTGTTGGATGGCACCCAGCCAATTCTCTTGGCTGTTCCGCATGCTGATGACATCCACAGGAGGATGACCAGCTATCCTTTGTGTTAAGAAATTGTGTCTTCATCTCCCACCTTCCCAAATCATCTCATCTCTGGTTCTAACAAGAGTTGCTATGGCAGTGACAAGAGGCCTTACTCTCTGCCAGTGCTCAAGGTTTATCAACATGAGTTCCTGGGTGTGAGTGATGCCCAAGGTACCACAGCCCTGCTGTGGTGGAGACACAAAAGCCCCAGGTTAAGGAGGAGATTGAGAAACAACTGAGCTGTGCACCATGTCAGCCCCAGGTGGACTGGTACTGCTATGGCGTCACAACTCCTTCCATGGATACTGCTGCCCACCAACCAGCCCAGGGTAGATGACAATGTTTCTCAATGTCCCCAGCGCTGCCCACACTGCAGAGCTCAGCGTGATGTCCACTCCACCTGTGCTCAGCAGCCTGGTCAAGACTTGGTATGTGGGGTTGGATAAATTCTGGGACATGAGACCCCCCCCAAAAAAAAACAGGTTCTAAACATAGGACACATTGATTTTCACATTCAAAGCTGAGTTCTGGCTTGGTGTGGCAACTGTGCTGAAGTTGAGTCCTGGGATACTAGGGATTCCTCTTGCCTGTCACCAAATGACCAGACTCAGGAGACAGCTGTCATCTCCTGGTCCCTGGATGTGGCATCTGACTCTAGCATCACAGTGCAAGGTGAGAATAAGGAACTGGAGTCACCATGTGTTACACTGGACCGACCCTAGCCCACACATGTTATGGTCTCGGTGTTCTAAGAAACATCCCTGGCAGTCACCATTACAACACTTTGGGTCATGGCCCAGAGCTGAAATATGTGACCATACTTGTTTGCACAGGAGACTGTCGGGTGTGGTGATGTGGTGACATTGTTTAGCTCAAAGTTCTATCAGAATGGAGGAGACAGAACCAAGACCCAAGGTCACTGAACTATGCCACCTTGATCTTGAATTTCCAGGTTCCCTGGATTCTAATGGAGAGAAGGATACTATCATTGTTTGTTTGTTTGTATTTATTTATTTACTTATTCATTCATTCATTATTTTGTTTCTGAGACAGGGTTTCTCTGTGTGTAGCCTTGGCTGTCTTGGAACCAGCTCTATAGACCAGGCTGGTCTCGAACTCACAGAGATCTGCCTGTCTTTACCTCTGGGTGTAGGGCTTAAAGGCGTGCACCACCACAGCCTGACAGACTCACTCTTTATAGTACTGGTATGGCAGAAAAGGAAGAAGTTTGCCATTCTCTTCCTGTGGTCATTGTGGTCACAGGAGCCCAGGAAATATTGTAACTCAAAAGTACACTGGAAAATGAAGAAAGGACACAATGAACATACTTCAGTGTTTGCTAAGCGCTTCCATGTTTGCTGTTACTTAAATGACTTCCACACCATCCCTAAGAGCTGTGCTGGTTATTTTCCACTTATGTGTGCTAGCCCACTACTGATTCATTTCCCACCCCACCCTGCTGTGCACCCAGGGGTTTGATGTGTAAAAACTGCATAATCTATTCCCTTAGTGTTTGTCTCAAGATTAATTCATCTGGAAGAAAAGCACTGATGGGGACTGGGAAGGCAGGAGGCATTAGGTGTAGGAGAGGTGTGTTCCTGTGATAGCTGGCACTGCTCCCTGGGAGGATATCAGCCTGACTTATGGTGGGATTTGCTCATTTCTGTGTTGTGAGGGCTTCTACTGGTGGGTTTCAACCCACTAATATCATTGAGCATAGGATAGGGAAGAACTATTGATAATCTCTAATATACTACTAAGTCAAACTGCTGAGCTTCCAGGCTCCTTCCCTTAAAAACCATCATTTGGAAGCCACTAAGGATCTCTACCTGCATCAGTGTCTATCCCCATAACCACAGCTCTCCCTGTTAAGGGCTTCCTTTGGCTTCAGGATGCACCAAGCCTCCTGCAAATTGCTGCTCCTGGAAGCTGGGTATCCTCCTTGTCAGTCCTTGCGATGCCATCATACCTTAGAAGAGACTTTAAGTTGCACCCTCCCTCATGGAGACTGGAGGTCAATGTTGGATGTCTTCCTCTAGCATTTGCTATCCTGTTTTGTTTTTTGAGACAAGGTCTCCCACTGAACCTGAAGCTCCCTGTGTTTGGCTGGACCAGCTGGCCAGAAAGTCTCTAGGATTTGCCTGTCTCTGCTTCCCCAGGGCTAGAGTTAGAGATGCACAGCAAAGTTCTGGACTTCTTTTACATGGGTGCTCTGCATCTGAACTCAGGTCCTCGTGCTTGCTCAGTGAGTACTACTCCCTGAGCCATCTCCACACCCCTGCCTTGTCTGTGTTGGAGTGTACCATCAGTCTCCTTAGTGGGGCATTACTAGAAACCGAAGCAGGTACTAGTAATTATCTCCATTGGCAAGGGAGGGAAGTGGTACCTCAGAGGAGTGAGGTGACTCAACATGGCCACACAGCCGGTATGTAATAGAATCACACTGGACTCAGATGTGCTAAAGCCACTTTTCATGGAAGCATCAAGCAGGATCGTTAAGCTGCACTCCCCTACTTGCTAGACAGACAGAAAGACGGTGACTCCACAGAGCATGCCTTCACTTAAAACAAAAGTGATCCTTCCACAAATATTACTGCAGACCCACTATGGGCCAGGACTATTGCAGTCAACAACATCAGCTCTCATTAAACAGCAAACATAGCTTCGGCAGCACATCCGAAGAGCAGTGTCCCCTAACCTCTGAGTAATCTGCATTATTTTCATTGAACTGTCTTCAACATTAAATGGCTAACAGTTTCACCTATGCTTTTTCTTAGATGGCTTTGAAGTTCAGATAGTTTTCTGTCCAAAGCATCCATGAGCCTGTAGAAGGCGTGCATGCCCATCTCTGCCATGTTTCTAGTGCCAGAGACTGCTCCTTGTTTTAGAGGATGATTTGATCCTCTCCACCTCTCAATTTTGGAATTACAAACACGTGCCACCATGCCCATCACTCTACACTTTTTAAGAGCTTTTCAGAAAAGGTTTTGCGGGGCACTGTTGTACTAGATGCTGTGATAGATACTGTAGATGCTGTCTCCATTATCATGAAGCTGGCTGACTGATGGAGAGACAGGCTTTACTACATAGGTACCTGGTTATAACCATGAGAGGTACAGGTTCCTAGAGACTATTTGGCAGACAAGCCTGAATCTGGAAAGTGATAAAGAAATAAAGAATAACTTTAGTGAGCTCAGGGAAGAGGGAGAAAATAGCCCAGGCAGATGGACAGCCTGCTGGAGGCCTGATGTCCAACAGAGTTCTCGCACTAAAAAGCAAAGAGCTGTTCTTTAAAAGGACAGGATAGCCTGGACACTTTGGAGAAGGACATGCATGGATTGGAGCAGAGGCCAGTTGGGAGAGCAAAGAGGCAGGTCATCTAAGCAGTCCTGAAAGCTACAAACAGACACCTAGACCTCTATGACCTTGACCAGCTGACCAAGGTCAATGGGAGGCAGAGGCAAGAGAATAAAAGAGTTGGACTGGAGAGTTGATTCAGTCTGTAAAGTGGTTGCCTTACAAGCAGGAAAATCAGAAATCAATCTCCAGTACCCACATTTTCAAAATATGTGAGTGTTGGCAGGCTTATGATCACAGTACCTAGGAGGCAGAAAAAACAGATCCCTGGTGCTTATTATGGCCAGACAGCTATACCCAGTGAATAAGCTTCAGGCCAGAGAGAGACCCTGATTCAAAATAAGGTAAATAATGACTAAAGAGTGGCACCCAAGGTTGTACTACAGCCTCCACATGTGTGAGCACACATATATACTTGTATATCCACACATATGTGTGTACCCTCCCATGAGCATGTATGCACACAGACAAAAAAGAATAGGTAACAACAACAAAACAAGCTTTAATTTTTTGAGGGAATATTTTTGTGTCTATATCTTCATGCAGATGTGTATGTGCATGTGGGGGTGTGCATGTGTGTGTCGGTGTACACATGTGTGTTGTGCATATGTGTGGGGAAGTGTGTCTGCATGTATATGAACATGTTGGTGTGTGCATGTGTGTACACATGTGTGGGGAATGGAGAGA